ACCGCCGCCGCCGGCCCCACCTTGGACATGCTGGCGGAGGGGCCGAAGTCGCAAGAGGGGCGCAGCGGGCGAAGGGGGGGGGGAAGCCGGGCAAGGCGGTGCGGGAGGGAGCCCCGCAGCCTCTTGGCGAGCCCTCCCCTCGGAAGTAACGAAGGGGGTGCCCGATCCCCAAACCTCAGGCTCTCGGCGGACCACCGGCGCGCCTCAACCGGTCCGATCTGCCTTTGTCCTCCTACCAGAAAGCGGTGTGACTCCGGAATCCGCCGGCCCCCCCTGCGCGCGCGCCCTCAGTCTCGAAGAAGCCCTTCGTCCGAATCCGAATAGATGCGAACTTTCTTTCCCCCCCCCCTCGAGGTTGATTGTCCAGCCTCTTCCTCCGGGCTAGCGAAGCATCCTTCCAAAGGATCGCAGGGAAAGGAGGGGTGGGGGGGGGGGGGGGGGAGGAGAAAGTCACGAAGCTGCCAAGGTCCGATCCTGCGCGCGATCCAAGCCCAGCTGAGGCGCCCCCGGCGACCCTCCCGCCTCCTGCCGGCGTTGATCCGGCTCCTCTTAGGGGGAACCCCAAAGTTGGCGCTGTCACACACAGACACACACAAAGAGTGCCCCAACCGTCCAGAAAATCCCTTAAAACTGGGGGGGGGGCGCTAAGGAATTGAAGAACGGCGATTCCACCACCAAAGAGGTCCAGCCGGATTTCTAAGGACCCCTTGCCCAACTCTCCTCCGTCCGGCGGGGATCCAGCGTCACTCCGAATTGTCTGTCCCGCAAGCGTCGAGTCTCCTTCTCGGAACCGCCGGGAGGGTCCCGGTAGGAGAAGAAAGCGGCTGCCTCCCTCGACCTGTCCGGCTTTCGCTCTCCTCGGAGGTCCGGCGGTGGAGAGCGGCGTGATGCGCCCATGCACACGTTCGGGAGGAGATGGGGGGAAAAGAGCGAACACGAGAGAAAGGCGGGAGCCCTGCTCTCTCTTTTCTTATGCCAGACAGGATGCAAAAAAAGGAAAGCGTCCTCCCCTCTTCAGATGCACCGGGCGGTTCCAAGAGGGTCAGAAAACCCAACACGCGAGTCCTCTGCTCGTGGGAACGCCGCCGCCTTCGGAACCAACCGCCTGGCCGAGGCAACCTTTCCCCGTCCGGAGATCCAAAGGGGTGAAGAAAGGGATGCAAAAGTGCGGGAGGCGGGTCGGGAAAAAACAGCTCTCCCCACCAGTCACCGTCGCCACGGACCGGCCGCCTTCCCACGTTCTTTGCGAGAAAGAGAGAGAAGCGCCTCCGGTCGCCAACTGGAGGCGATCGGGAGACGCGCGGACCACCACCACCACCACCACCCCCGCACTCGGGGATGGGCTGGTGCAATCCGAGCGCCGCCTCCCTCCTCCTCCTCGAGAGGAGACCCGACCGGCCGCGGCAACCCGGCTCGGCAACGCCTCTCAACTCGGCTCTTCCCTGGCGGCCATGGCGGGCGGAGGATCCTCGCCCGCCCTGCTCCGGCTTCAACCCGTGCAAAGGGCGCCGGGCGGCTGTTGCTGCATCGGGACCTTGCCGGCGGCCCGGCCTGGGGCTGCTCGCGCGCCTT